ATTTTGGAAGGTGACAGCTCCTTCAAGCCCATTTCAGGACAGAGTAATCAACAGATAGCTTTGAATACACATCCCTTTTAAAATAAAAAGCAAAACTCCATAGAGCCTGCTGGTTTCTGCCTCTAGCTTGCTTTAGCTCTCCCCTGGTAGTTATACTTCTCAGAATTGCACCTCCAAACAACAAAAAGGCAGTTGTGGACTACTTCACCTGACGCATGTGAATGGACTCACACAGAGGAACGTGACAGGATCAACTGAGTGTGAATGTGTGCAGAGATATGCGTCCTTTTAAGTGACAATGCTTGTGCCATGCTATTGGTGCAGGAAATCAGATCAGTTCTGTACAGGAGACAAAACGTGCATCCAGACCTTTCTCTTTCAGCCTCAGAGATGATGTTTTTGGCATAAGTGTCAGCCTATAAGTAACCAGCTTTCTGGATAGATAGGACTGACTCAGGTCTTGGCATTCAACCTGTGACTAAAGCACATTTCTATACTAAATTAAACCTTCTTGAAGTGGCAGTAAAGAGGTAGATAAATTCACCGGTAAAATAAGCTCCATGAAGTGAAGGTGAATGGGGCTCAATTTGCTAACACAGCACCAACTCCCACAAAGACTTGTGCTCCAGCTAAGGAAGCAATTTCATGGGCTGAGGAAACAAGAGGTTTATGAAGCAGAAAAGTTCAGGACTACTGCTGCTGTACTCAAGGAAATCTTCCAGCATGGGAAGGGACTGGCATGCAGTCGCTGGCTTTGAGGAGCAAAAATACCATTCCTATTTTATTGCTACAGTGAGCACAGGCAGGCTTGAGTTCAAATGCAGCTGGCTGCAGATCTGCAAGACAGTGCACACTGCTTACAATGTCAGCCTGCTGCAAAGAGAAGCAGCGAGCGGAGCCACAGAGCAGCTGTAGGCTGCACTGTGATCTCCAGCCTTGACACGACCATGGTGACTCCAAGAGCTCAGCTGTCCATAAAACTCATAATGTGAGTGATTTTGCTGGAAAAATCACAGTCTTTAAGCACTGTAGTGGGGTCACCACTGCAAGCAGTCAGATTGGAATGCAGTTTTTCTGAGACCCAGGGTAGCACTACCTGCACTGAGAGGTAAGGATGCATCACCATCCAAAGGTATGGATCTGGACCGCTCTGTATCCATCGTGCTGACCAGGCACTGCGGAATAAAATATCCCTCTGTATGAATGTTCAGTGGCAAGAAGGTTTCAGATGGAAGGAAAGGGTTTATGGGCATCATTTATGTCCATAAAACAGTTCAGGAGACCTGTTTGGTAATCCTTCCTGTTCACTGTCGTATTTTTTACTTAAAGGGAGGAAATCTTGGGATTAGCACAAGTATCCCCTACCACGGCACAAGATCTTTTCTATCATTATGGCAATATCTAGAGGTAACAGGCAGTGGGGCCAACAACAGCTTCTGGCCGATGGGCACGAGAAGCTCCTTGGTTGCTGCAATGCCAGGACAAGAGCCAAGCAGATTTTGAGGAACAGGACTCCTACCATCCAGGATTTTGACCACTACAGCTGCCTGCTCCCAGCAGCAGGTCTAGGAAAAAGTCTAAGGGAAGCCAGCCTCCTCCTTGGATGTAAATGGCACGGTGTGAACAGAGTTGTATTTGCAGCAGGCTGTTTACATGAGCTGCCAGTAGGACTGCAGGACTTGTTGTTTCTTCCTCTGAACACAGAAGAAAGCAAGACACATACAGCAGAGCAGGGAAGCAGCAGAATGTGGGTGTCTGGCCAGAAAGGCACAGGCTTGTTCTGAAGCATTGCTGCACAACATGGCTTCATTGGCTGGTGAAATGCCTCAGCTGTGTACAAACTCATGCTTCTTGTTGTGGATCACTGCAATCAGGGAAGAAAGGCCCTTAGGGTTTGCCCTAACTGGAGGTATAGGTAATATTTTCAGCTCACTCTTTTTTCTGCCCCTGGTGCTCAATGAGTGCACCAAGCCAAAGAAATGGCAGTTTGAAGACCCAGGCTCAAAGACGATTGGATACACAGAGAGCACTGCTTGCTGTGCAGCAGAATTGTTGTGACTGATGGGCACTGCAGCAATTCTGAAGTTTTCTGCCACAGCAGCTGATGGAAATAGAGCGATCTGTGTTGTAGGGAGACAGATGAGCAACACAGCTTCCTCTGGTCTTAAAGTCCACCCATGTGCTCATGCTCAGTGACATTTCTGAGAACAGGAGCCTTTGAGTACAGCAGCTGCAATGCTCTGCAAACAGGAGTCAGGGCAGCATAAACCAAGCTAAATTCTTCCATGGAAATGTTGATTTACAGTGAAAGAAAATGAATTGTGCTCAGAAAGGGTGCTGGGAAATGATGCATGCTGAATTGTGACTATAAAGCAAATCCATCTGGAAATGCTCTCAGCCACATCTCCAGCCCACTGAAGTAAGACTTCCTAGGCTTCTCTAATGCTATGCCCAACTTGTATTCCTAAGGATAAAAGGAGCCTTTTTACAGACACTGGTGGGAGAGGAAGGAATCTCCAAGCTGTGGGGACATCGCACACACATCAAGTGCCATGTAGTGTTCACTTCCAACTCAGACTTCCTTCCTACAGAGGAGAGACAACATTTTGTTTTCTATTTGTTAAAGAAATGCAAATGGATGATCAGCAAGGGAGTCAGGAGAAGTAATAAGCTATATAAAATGAAGAAAAAAGATGCTTCAAGTATCAACTGTATCAAAGCTTTAGTGCAAAGTTCCTCTTATCTCTTTCACAGGTCAATCAGGAGAGGTAAGAAATCTGTCTTCATTTGTCACAAACACTGATTTTGCTTGGGGAGCTCCAGCCCAGAGACAGGAGGCTTGCCTGCTCTTGGAAGCTCTTCATGAAATGTGGAGTAGTTGATGGATCCCCTAAGTTTCTCAGGGTCAGCGGCAGAAAATTGCTGTCTAGGATGACAAAGTGGTTTTGCAGCATAGCAGCTCTGTAAATCTGCCTTAGCTACCTCTTGCATCACCATCAGTGCATCCTTACCCCATTCACTTGTTGTATATCTTCCTTTTCCCTTGATCTCTGCTCACCAGGTTTCTCCTTTTCCACACATTTCTATCACTGCCTGTCTGCTTTTTTTTTTTTTATATACTCCTGAGCCCTTTTTTTTTCTTCTATTTTTCTCTTAGTTTCTACGAGGTTTTCAGCAACTTCTCTCCATGCCCCTCTCACTCACCATTGGGGGACCAGCTAGACCTAGGAGATGCTGGCAGGTCTTGGATGTGAGTTGCCATGGCAAAACCCCAGCTCCAATAAGTGACTGTACCATTGCAATTCTCCAGCTCTGTCTTGGTGAAAACAGCCCTGAGAGAGAGGTGAGCAGCTCCACTGACACCTTGCACAGTGCTTAGCCTCTGCATGGGAGCACGAGCCCTACAGTACTCCTCATTTAAGGGCAATTTAAAAAAAATCCAGACACTGAATATCTCACAGGCCATGGAGGAATACTGCCAAGCTGTGGGAGTGAGGAACTGTTATCACCCCCACTTCACAGACACGGAGTTCACACATCGCACTGAGCCAAACCAGAAGCTGTATGGTGCAACTGTCTGTCAGAAGCAGTGAGATGTTTGCAATTCAGACTATTCCCATAGTCCTTTCAGCTCCCATGGCTTTATTATTATTACTGCTGCTGTAAGTATTATTATTTAGCGTCGTGAAGAAAGAAAAGGAAACAGCAACCATACCCTTGCCATCCCATTAATCCCAGCCAATCCTGTCAGTAGATACCAGGTTTCTGTCTTTCCTGCTGAGCAACATAATACAAGCTACTCTCTAGCTGCACGACGTATCTGATCCTACCAGGCATTTCTGTGGCTAAGGCTCAGCAAAGCAGGCTGCTCCCCTCGCTGTGGGCAGCGCTTCAGTGGGTTTCATCTCACTAGGACACTTGAAGCCTGGTTGTTGGAAGTCCCTCCTGCTGGGTTTGAAGAGGTGATAGCCTACAGTTGGAGAAAGTATAGTAGCATTAGAGAAAGCTTTTTGTTCTTTAAACTGATGTGGGCATTTAAGTCATTGAGGCAGGAAGGGCTTATTCCAAACAGCTAGAGGATTAGTGGGAATTACAGGATACTCTCTTATATAATACTCTCCCTTTTTGCTTCGGCTTTTTTGTATCATGTGAAGTAAGAAGGATGCCACCCTCATATGAGAGAAGGTCACTGCCCCTGTGAGGGTCATACACACAGCCATGCGAAAGGAGGTCACAGCCATGCCCACGGCCACATGTAGAATCATGAGAAGAGAGAAGGTTACTGTCACTCTCCTGGCCATATGCATAGGCGTGAGAAAGGTTCAGGCCATTTCCAGCACAAGTAATGTCATGGACATTCACATGGGGCTACAGTACTGATAGCCAGTGTTAGCAGATCTGACCTCCTTGTATTCTTCTAACTTTCAGCTCAGCTATTTCAAAGCTACCATCTATTTAAACAAACTTAATTCTGCTAAAATCCAGATAGTGAACGTCTGCACTTCAACATGCTGCCCTGCACCTGTGATAAGAAGTCTAAGAGTGCTTCTGGCAGCTTTCCTACCTTGGGCAGCACAACTCTTCAAGGGACCTGCCATCCTAAAAATGCACTACTCAAACATATAGCCTGCTCTACTGCACATCTTTCAGTGACGACGCACAGTGAGTTTGGGGCTGGAGGTGCTTTGCTCCACCTTTGAGAGAACCCCACATTCTTGCATTGCCCAGAGTTCTTACCTGTACCTTTCTGGCTCAGTCTCCTCCCAAAAATGCGGACAACACCCGAGGGCTCACCCACACCGCCCAGCCTCTCCTCCGGCTTTCCCCCGCCCTCCACTCGTCCTCAGCCTCCACCGGCAGCGCCCCGTGGTCATTGGCCGGCTGCTCCGGGCCCGCCTCCGCGGTCGCGCAAGCGCTGCGCGGAGCTGTCGCCGCCGCCTCGCCGGGAGCGTTCAGCACCGCGAGCTGCGGACAGCGCCCCGCTGCCTCCGCAGCCGGTCATGGAGGCCGGGCCGGCCTCGCCGCGCCGGGAGCAGCGGCCCGAGGGGACGCGCCGTGGCCGCGCCTCCGCCTCGCCCAGGTAGGAGCGCGGAGACCGGCGCGGAGCTGCGGGGGACGGCGGTGAGCGCTCGGCGGTGTCTGCTGTTTTGGGGGGGTCACTGGGCGAGGCTCGGTTATCCCGCGCCTTGACATTGCCTTCCAGCCCCATCGAGGGGCATGTGCCTTTCGTCCTGAGCCCCTCGTTTCGGGGTTTACAAGAGCCGCGCTGTCCGGCTGGCACCCTCGTGGTTCGTGCCTCCTGTGCTGGTGGCGAACTTGGCCTCCTTGGGGATTTTTTGTCATGCAGTAGGTGAGCAACCCCACCTGCAAATGGTGAAGTATTGCTAGCAGTGTGCAGCATGTTTTGGATGAAGTCCTCTTTTCACCAGGCTTTGGACAAGAACTGGTTTCAATTCAAAGGTTTTTTTCTATAAAACCCTGCAGCTCTCTCCTTCTGCCCCCCATGCCATATGCTTCCTTAACTGGTGTCTCAAACCAGGCTGGAAGCCATAATCATTGCAATTTTCTAGAAATGCCAACAAGCCCATGATCCTGGGCATAGAGCCATCCCCAAATTTTTGACCACACCGCCATTTGTTAGACTGAAGGCAACAGATCTGAGCTCTTCAGATTCTCCTGAGCAAGGCAAATCCTGAGTTCAACAACACACAGATTCATTCTGAAAGCCCAAAGAGTTTCACTTCTGCCTGACACAGGATCTTCACGCTAAACCATCCCCACCTGCCTGGGGGATCCAGTGGGGCAGTCACATCCCCTTAGCTCTGCACATCTCAGCCTTAAATCTCAGGCATTGGGTGGGGTCTGAGCACCAGCAATGCCCCATTAGCTTTACTTGCCTGTCTAATCCTTGCTCGTTTGAACAGATCCTTTAAAATGAATACTGCAGCCTGTCAGAGTTCAGTTATGGATACGAATTACATCAGCTGAAATGGGTGCCTTGACTTTATCTCATGCTGTACACTCAAGAACTAAAATTTATGACAATTATGATAGTTCTCTGACTCCTGAGCAAGTTTATACATAAATGCTTCTTTAAGCAAGGCTGTTCATGTAGCCACAGAAGGGTTAGCTCTGTAGCACCTGTCCTTTGGCCTAAGCCAATGCTTGACTGAAATGAGCATCGATAAACAACACCTTCTTTCTGACCTTCTTAAGGCTGGGATAGTAAGGTGTAGTTTTCTTCAAAATAGGAGTGAGCAAACAGGTTTGAACAGCTGTTTGTTTTACACTGCCAGTGTATCCAGACCTTCCTGGAGCTGGAGACTGGGTGGGAATGGCTGAGCCCTTTGTGTCTGCTTGCACCCCATCCCAAACACCTGTGCCCACAGCACTGCTAGCTGCCCGGGGTGAGGGTAAGGCTGTTCAGATGAGTCAATGGAAAGGATAATAAAACTAAACTTTTCTTGGCAGACTACGTGGGAAGCAGAGCTTTTCAGTCTCATTAATTTTTCATGAAGATTTAGCATACGCAGGAGTCTCATTAAAAAAAAAAGATTGTAAGGCTTCTTAAGGATACATGTTATCTTGCTACTAGACTGAAAAAGCAAAACAGGGAGTAACTACACAGAAATTTTTCAGTGTACAAAAATTTGACCCTGCCGACAAAGGAGATGAATTGCTTGACAGGTGCCCATCCCTCCCTGCCAGCTGGGCAGTGAACCTACATAATGGGTGAGAGTGAAATGCAATAAGCCCTCCCATAATCTCCGGATACATGCACTTGTCATGTTAAAAGCACAAGCAAACATAAGCAATAACAATGGTGTCATCTTGACCATTTTCCTGTGGGAAGAGGAAAAGGGAAGAGACACTTTTGCTGATTCGTGCACATCTGCACAGGGCTCCCTGTGCCCTGCTGCTTGCCTCAGAAAAGCACTGCTGCATTTAAAGGGACTTGGGCAGTTTCATAAATTGGATTATCATCCTGTCTAGGCATCTCAAGGGAAGAGATGGGGAAGCAGCATGACAAATGCAACTCATTTGGGTCTCAGGAGCAGTTTGTTCCAGCCTGTCAACTGCATACAGCTCATCTTCCTTCTCTCTGCATCTCTTTAGTTGCATCCAGTTGAGCTTGAAGAAAAAGGAGGTTGTCAGGCTGCTTCTGCAGGCTTTTCTGTGGCTGAGAGGCCATTTCTGCCCACACCATCCCAAATATGTCAAACATGTGACACAGTCCTGAATGGGAATGAACATTCAAAAGAATGTTTCTTTTCCCCTGGTGTTAGTCCAGTGTAATGCTCTTGCCCACCTCTTCTTCCGTCTGACAGTACACAATAATCAGGAATACACCCACAACCATTTTCCAAACACAATTCAGGCTCCTAGATACCCAGAAAAGTCATAGTGACATGCTAGTAGGTGTCAAGGACCAGCCTACATCTCCGGTGCAGATCTCAGCAGATCAAATACACCAGCACCCTGGCTAATTGAGAGCATAGCAACTGAAGACTCAAAACCTGCAGACCTGTCACCAGTAATTATCCAAAACTATCATTATTTCTGAGCTCCAGGTTTCCCCGGAGATTTTGGATAACCAAGGTCACATTGTCACAGAGTTGGAGATGAGCAGAAGGCAACTTGGATCTGGAGCGTGATTGACAGAACTGTAATTGTGCAGCCTGAAAAGGAGATAACAAAGAAGACTCACAACTGAATGATTTGAATTAGCTAAAGTTATTCTAAAACATGAAGTCGCTGAGCAGCCAGGGGATGGAGCTGAGACCACATGAGGAGAAAGAACAGAACATGACAGTATTTCACAGCAAAGATGATAATCAAGGGGAGTGGGCTTGTCTGTTAACTACTAGCATTGAATGCATTAATGTATGTGCAAAAAAAAAATGAATGCAATCTGTGATATCCAAGGATTTGCCACCTGCCTTTGCCACCAGGAGATTGTGTAGCTGAGGGTTTTGGACATGGAACTTTTCAGCGCATGTTTCTTGCATTTCCCTGATTATCTTCAAAGTGTTTTTTTTCTGGTGAAAGCCTTTTCTTCCTGTCCAGTGTAACAGATGATGCAGGCAGACATGGCAGTGTAGTCCTCAGACTAATTCAGTTATGAAAAGCCTCTTGTGCCCACTGCCAATGCAAATCCAGCAGTTTACATGAAAAAGAATTTTGTTTTCCCTTAAAAAAAAAAAAAAAAACCCACATATTTTACAGGTGTGGAAATATCAGAAGCATAAATTGTCAGTGCGGTAGTTTCTGTGAATTATTATGCATTTTTGGAAAACATCTTACTTAAGGTGTACCTAAATTAAGGAAAGTGATACGTGGAAGGTAGAGAGAAAATCACAGAATCACAGAATCAGAATCACAGAATCATAGTGGTTGGAAGGGATCTCCAGAGATCGTCGAGGTTCCCTACACCAGGTCACATAAATAGGTGTGCAGGCGGGTCTTGAACATCTCCAGAGAAGGAGACTCCACCACCTCCCTGGGCAGCCTGTCCCAGTGCTCCGTCACCTCACCGTAAAGAAGTTCTTGTGCACATCTGTACAGAACTTCCTATACTCCAGTTTCTGGCTGTTCCCCCTCGTCCTGTCTCCACACACTGCTGAAAATAGTCTGGCCTCGCCACTCTGCCCCCCACACCTCAGATATTTATAGACCTGGATCAGGTCCCCTCTCAGTCTTCTTTTCTCAAGGCTAAACAGACCCAGTTCACTTAGCCTTTCTTCATAAGAGAGATGCTCCAGGCTCTTCACCATCTTTGTAGACCTCTGCTGGACTCTTTCCAGAGCACTTCACACAGTACTCCAGATGAGGCCTTACCAGGGCAGAGTAGAGGGGGAGGATCACCTCCCTCGACCTGCTGGCCACGCTCTTTTTAATGCACCCCAGGATGCCATTGGCCTTTTTGGCCGCAAGGGCACACTGATGGCTCATGGCCAACCTGTCGTCCACCAGGACACCCAGGTCCCTCTCAGCAGAGCTCCTCTCCAGCAGCTCATCCCCCAACCTGTACTGGTGCATGCAATTATTGCTCCCTAGAGGCAAGACTCTACACTTGCTTTTGTTGAACCTCATGTGGTTTCTTACTGCCCAGCTCTCCAGCCTGTCCAGGTCTCACTGAATGGCAGCACAGCCTTCAGGCGTGTCAGCCAATCCTCCTAACTTCGTATCATCAGCAAACTTGCATAGGGTGGCCACTATCCCCTCATCAAGGTCATTGATGAAGATGTTGAAAATAATAAATCAGAGATATAAAAATAATAAATAAGAGACATCAAAAAGGGGTCTAGAAGCATCAAGAAGAGGTCTAGATTTTGCAGAAGTATAACACAACCACAGTTCCAGCTTTATGATGATAATTCAGTGCCTCAGCTCTGCTAATACAAAACTATAAGCCTACAAATAAAATTAACTTGCACTGCAACCACTGGAAATCTGGGAGAAGGAAGAGGAGTTACACTTTTATCTCAAGAATGGAAGAGTGATACTCTCACAAATAAACCTCGTCCCTGAGACTTCCTATAGATAGGGAGGATGTGGTGGTTACTATGTCCCTGGCTGGTTGGTTTTGCAATTATTGTAAATGGGCAATAATTAATTAAATATGCCATTTCATTCATTGCCACAGACCACAAGCTTTCCCTTCTCTGCCTTTGTTGCACCTGCTCTACACTGCAGTTGTACAGCTGAATGCAAATCCCCCCAGTGCAGGTGACTTTGATGAGGCTGTAGCAAGCCCCAGATTCCATCTTATGAACGCATTGCTGACATCTGATTTATTGTCTTGTGCAGCGTGTTTGTATACACCACCAAAAAATTTGTAGCCTTCTTTGTAAGCTGCCTTCATAGAGCTATAACCCAAATCACTCGCTTGAAAGTCTGGGTAATCCTGCCACTAATCCATCTGTGGCAAGACAACAAGGACTTCATGCGACAGGATTTTATATTATATCTTTTGACAAACTCTGCGGGAGAATGGGATATCATTGTCACAATCTATTCAGGAGCTTGGGCTTTGCAAACAGCACTTCCTCTCACTATACTGAGCTAGCTGAAGTCTTATTAGTCCTTTGTATTGCAGAGCAGAGGCAGCTGAGTGCTAGAACTGTTGAGAAAAACCTGTCAAGCTTATCAATGAGGTGTGCACACATCTGTCTGCAGGTTTTCTGGCACTTGCTTCAGTGCAAACTTTGTCTTGTTGCCACCAATTTGTACATCTGCTGCCTTAAGAAAAATTAGCAGTCTCACAGATCCGATCTGACTTTCCTGCCTTTGGGTGTACCTTCTTTTCCCAGGGATGCAGAGGCATTTGCTAACTCTTTTGATAACTGTTTTGCCAATTTCATGACCCAAAAGCTGCATGTGAACATCAGTTACTGCTTCCAAAGTCAATGACATTGTGATAAGCAACTTCGACTATGTCATCTCTGTCTGTAACTACATAACCAACAACTAAAAATAGCATTGGATGGTGTCTAACTAGGCAAGATATCTTTGGTACTAGTCCTGGATAGGTTGTATGTGCAAGTAGCAGTGACTGGAATACCTGTGCCATGAGTCTCCACACCAGCATTGGTATAACTGCTACTTCATTGCTTGGTCGTAATGATTTTAGTGAAACGAGCCTATTCTGTATAATCATGAAATATAGTTTCCCAGTGTTGATAAGCTCAATTGATGTTGGAAAGTACACAGCATGAGCTGCCAAGGCCAATATGTCCTCCTTTCTGGAAAAAATAACAATTTTCAAGCAGTACTGAACTAACGGAAATCTTCAAATCTCTTTTGTCATTGATACTGTTATTTAACTTCGGGTGCAATTCCGGAGACTTGTAATTGCTAAAATTCTGTCATTTTCCATGTCTGTCAGAAAGAGAAATGAGATGAACTCTGCAAAGTTTTGAAAATATTCCCTTCTCAATTGTATTTTGTCTTCAGTTTTTCTCCACATCTCATCAGGTGCCTCAGGCTAAAGTTCATTTCATTCTTGTCTCAATCCAGTACTCATAATTCTCTGACAACTCAAGACACTTTGTTATTCTAGCTGGCCCAAATCATCCATTATACTTAATGCTTAATGTCAGACACTACAGCAGGCATATAACTCAGCTGTAGACACCATGGCACATTCTCTGATCGACCACCAGAGGCTGTAGGTGTATCCATATCATTCTTGCCTTCTGAACTCCAAATTGCACAGTGCTTCTGAAGCTCCCTGACAGTGAGATGGTAATTTCAAAGGCACTTTTGGGTCAGTGTGACATCATCCTACGGTGTGTGAGGGGTTTTCTTGCTGTCACAAAGACTCAGATCTCTGTAATTACTCTGTGCTTCCACATTAGGATCCTACCTTTATCACCAGCCAGCGTGTTTTGCCCTTTTTTTTTGCACTGAAATCCCTTGGAAGAAATAAGAAGGAATAAGGAGGCCCATCTAATTAAATGCCATTAGCATTTAATTAACTTAACTCTGCCTATACGTTGAAGCCATACCTGGTTTCTAAGACCACAGCCACTAGAGGAGCTGAAAACTGTTCAAGGGCATGTTACGCTATTTTTCATAATTTTGGAATAACATGCAAAAAGGTATGATAGATTCACCATCAGCTGCACTCCATGAGTGAGGCATGGATGTTTCTGTAAAAATCATGGTTCAGCTCAGCCCTGGCTCTTGATACAGTAAACAGAGGCTGAGGTCTTATGTCTTGCATTAAGTGGGAGACAAGATGCAATTCCCCAGCATAGCCCTCCTGATGCTGTAACAGAAAAAGTTTTACCATCCCTTTGTTTCCTCACAGAGAAAAAAGAAATGCAGGACCTTGCCAGACCTGTCTCGCCATGCCAGAGATTGCCAACACTGAGCCCAGCTACAGTGGCACTTCTTGGGAAAGAATCTGCCCGGTCCATCACTGCCCCATTCCTGCATCGCCCAGGCTGGGGGGAGACCACCTGCCCGCCTCCAGTCACACGCTGGGGCCAATCTCCACCCAGTCCAATGGTCAGGTACCATCGAGCTCCCAGGACGCGCAACAGCATCACTTGTATTACTCCTGCAATCAGCAGGAGCCCCGAGGCAGCTATGGCCTGCCCCTGCTCCCTGGGCACGGTGAGAAGTCCACATTGTGTTCTCACCTCTCCAGCAGCGATCCTGTCCCAGCTTCTCATCATGAGGCTTTGGAAACCCCTTGGAAACGGTGGTCCCCTGGGCAGCGACTCTCCCAACCGGTGCAGCACCACGTTGTAACAGTCAGGTAAGAGGCATATGGAGAACGGTTCAGCAGTTTTCAGAAGGCATCTCCTGAACTTTGGGACAGGATCGGAAGGCTCTGAGTGATTTTGCTTACCAGTTTGAAGCAGTAGATGCCCCCAGAAATATAGAGGGATAGAATTTTCTCTTTCCACCCATTAGGAACATATACAACTACCATTCCTGCACCTGGGAGAGTCAGGATTTACTTCTCAAGGTGACCTGATGAATAGAGCCAAGGTCACTCTGTTACTCCTGCATCACCCAGCTGTGATCATGCCCATCTTCTGTGATCCTCCCCTTTTCTCCATTTGCACTCAAGATAGCCAGCTGGCTAGTCCTTTATCTTGGCAGAGTTTCTGAGTGATAAGAGCTCGGGTCATTTATTTTTCTACTCCCAGTGAAGCTGCTGCCTATGATGGAGGGGAGGGAAATAAAGTGAGAAATGCAAAGTTGGGGAATACGACTTGGTCTTCCAGGTTGCTTTGCAACAAGCAGTAGGCAGCAAGCAAAGTTCAATGGTGTAGGATTCCCTGCTTTTTTACAGCAGTGCAGGGTTAGGCACAATAGTCCTTTATGGTCTCATTTTCTAACCATTAACAGAGGATTTAATTTGTCTGTGTTTGCATTTGCATCAATATTGCATCAATAAAATTGTTAGCTGCTTTCTCTCTAACAGGTTATTCAAGTAGGAAATGCAGCTGGACTGCAAATCACTGGCAGAATGTGCAGCACTAGCAGACAGAAAAGTGATGTTACAACAATGATAGAATAAGGTTTTTAGCCTGAGCAATTCTGCTTGAGAAGCTACTGTGGAAGAATTAACAAAGGACAGGCAGCGTGCAGCTAAACAGGGACTCCTCTTCGAGGAAAAATCTATGAGGATTTTTCTCTGCTCCCCTCTCTCTCGAATCTGTGGAGCATTAGAGTGATGAGACCATGCATTTCAGGGAGACATCTCAGGTGGAAATGGAGAACAGAAGGAAAGGCCCTTCAGATATGGTGACCACTGAAATACAGTTTTTTTTTTAAGACTGCCCATAGGGATTCACTACTAAAGGTAACCTCAGATCCCCTCAGAAAGGCTTCTTTCTTTTATCCCTCAGAGCTCTACAAAGAATGACAAGAGCTGCTCTGTGATGGAAACACCAGAAAAATGTTCTGAGCAGCTCTGCTGGCCTCCTTTTCCTCTAGATTGGACAAATGTCATCTCTGAATTGGCTCAGGAAACAAATGAGATTGACTTTCTGGAAAATCCTTGCTGAGTTGAACAGGAAATAAAAACTATAGGCATTGTTAGCTCTGATCATAAAATTTCATAGAGTTACACTGTTGCCAAGAAGTAAGTTAAAAATTCAGCAGAAAAGCACTTGAAAAATATAGATTTTCATGGATAAGTGTTAAACTGTGATTCCTATGAGATTATGTTATGTCCTTTAAATTCTGTTCAGTTTTCTGGAGGGGCAACACAGAGGAATTACTAAGGGTTTTCCCATTTGGTATGGTTAAAATGCCAGAGAGAGAGGGAAAGACCCTATTATTCATTACCCAAACTCATCTGGTGCCAAACAACTCCCACAGCAGTGGCTCAGCTTCTGAAGGGGTAAACTTGCTCACTAGGTACCCAAGACAGTGCTTGGCAGGAAGATAATAAATGTATGCCTTTTTTTTTTTTTTTTTTCTGTCTGCAGACATGACAAGGCTTTCAGGATGCCCAAAAGGTACGCTTAATATCAAATCCTTGCCATTCTTATATCCTACTATCATGACTCTCCTACTCTGCTATTAGCAAATGCAGGGCATCAGTGCTGGTGCAGGCCCAGTTTCAAAGGCAAGGTCAGCACTCCCTGCTCCATGCTTCTCATCCGTCTGGAAAAATTTCTATTTGCTTGTACAACCTGTACTAATGAATAGCAACGGTGCTTTGATGGCCGTTTTCAGAGCAGGTGCCTGGCTCTAGTCCATACAGCAGCTTTATATTTATAGTTACATTGGCTGGGTTAAGCCAGCTTGGCCCACCAGATGGGGAATCAGAAGGGTATCAGGAGCAATAGCAGTAGAGTCCTGCATTTTCTCACAAGCTACAGTAGGAGAGATCTTTGTTGCAAGGCTATGCACAATGATTCAAGAGGCTTAAATTGAAAAAAAAATAAAAACAAAATAGGCCTGACCTAAACTCATGTGAAAAGCTGTTTGAAGGACCACCATATTACACCAGTCTATGTGGTTTTGTGTGTTCTCCAAACCCTGATCTGCAGCACTTGCTGGTGCTTTTGTTGTAGGGTCAGTGTTTGGCTTTGAGGCTGCAATCAGGGTGAGTCTCTCATCCTGCAGATTCAGAAACCACTTGCTCACTTCATGACTGCTGCTGACAGTCCTAATGGTGGTTGAACATCAGATCAGTGGTTTCCATCTTCTTTTAACTTTGCAGGTGTCTACATATTTCCCAGCAGTAAGGCAAGCTCCCATATAGCGAGTGAATTTAGAGCAATAATAATGACTTGCTTGAGCTAGTTATCTTCGGGAGACCTTTCAGAATAGCTAAACTTCTTAGGGTCCATGGGCAGAAAATATGCAGGCCAAATAGCAAGACAGCTACTGGTGTAGATTGCACAATGGGAAAAACGAAAGCATGAGAAGCTCCTTCTAAATGAAGCCTTTTAAGTTAAATATTTAAAGCTTCCTTTTGCCTTAGGATGGAAGAGTCTGGGTTTTATTATTTCCGATTGAAAAAGCAGGAAAATATACAGAGGCAAAATGTGGTTACCTGAGTTAATTAGAGTTGCCTCTAATATAGTGGAAATATAATACATTCATTAATAGCTGTACTAGAGCCTCTAAGCTTTTCAATAAACAAGTGCTCAAACCAAAAACCCCTAATTCTTTTAACTTCCTTTTATTAGCACTATGTCGGCTCAACAGCAGCTTTCATGCTAATAGCAGAAGGGCTCTAACAGCCGCATTTTTTCTTCTCCTGTTGATTCTAGTTATTCTCAAATGATCGCAGAGTGGCCCATTGCTGTCCTGGTGCTGTGTGCAGTGACAGTTGTGGTTTGTACTTTAGCTGGCCTGCTTGTTGGAAATTTGCCGGATTTTTCAGAACCCCTGATGGTAAGTCCCTACAGGCAATATGTCAGTGTGAACAAAAGGAAATCCACAGGGCGACTAGTAATGTGTTCTTTCTGCCATACAAAACAAGCCTATGCTTCCCTCCTTCTCTGCAGATAGAGGCAGCAAGGCAGGACAGGAGGACACTAAAGCCACTAGAAATAAACGGCAGTGTTTATCAGTGATCTGCTATCTTCTTCCCTCTTATCTTCACAGTGTGCAACCAAAGCAAGATTCCTTCTGGATGGACATAATGTTTCAGAGTAATGTTCAGTACTCACTATTTCTTTGATACCACAGTCACAAAAACAGAAATAGTGACATCACTCATTACTGAAAGGCTTTTATTCCTTGCTATTTCACTGCTGCACTGCTCAATAGCTTTCACTGGTGAAGCAATTCTGTTAGTATTCAGTGTTAAGTCCCCTTCCTGAGGCCCAGCATGCTGCTCTGGTAGTATGTCCTCATCAGCTTCTAAACACTCCAGCTCACTCCTAAGGACTGTTTGCTCCAGCCTACAGAGATGCATCTCCAGATTTCCCTCCTTAGAAAGAGTGCATCTCTCAGGACGGGGGCACAGCAAACTTTGGGTTACACTTGGCAGCTGCGGAAGGGCTGAGCTTCACTCTTGAGCTGGGTTAGGGAGGACACCCTGTGCCAACAACAACCACCAGCCCATCTCTGCAGTGCTGAGGACTCACACTATAGCTATCCATGCCCAAAAAGGAAAGGAGAAATATTTTTTTCCTCTCATCTCTTGGATGCAGTATTTCCAGGGAAAAATCAATGTGTGTATCTCTCCAAGATGCAGGAATCATCTCAAATAGTCTCATATAGTTTCTATGTCTAAGAAGAAGCATTAAGGAATGCTAAGCTAAGCCAAAATGCAAGCTGATGATAAAACCCTTCTGCTTGACTACAGGGTTTTGAGCCACGAGATACCGACATTGGCAGAAAGCTCATTGTATGGAGGAATGTAGAGAGCCATACGGGCCACAAGAAGACCTTTTCCCTTTCTCCATATGCTGAGAAGAAAAGGTATTTGCATTTGGTGAGGGAGCTTTGAGGAAAATGGTGGGTATACAGGTACCGATTCACTGTTCCAAGATACTTATGTGAATTACAGTGTACATCCTGTTCTAGAAAGCAACCTAGCACTGGAGGGTATAAAGTCTGCTGCCTTGCAATGTGCTTTGTTTCCCCACTCTGGATACTAGGAATTAGGCTCTGAACTCTCCATGTGTTTATTTCACAGTTTACCAGAGACTCGCTAGTCAACATCACTCGTTGCCAGCTGATCTCTCTACTTACACAAATTATATCATCTCTTGCTAGCTATGATGACATTGGCACTAGCAGAGGACAAAAGGCTGTTCAGGGAGGACAAGAAGCGAGGACACGGAGAATGGTGGAACAAATCTATGGAGTAGATGGTTTCTTTTGCGGTCCCCCAGGTGAGTGGAGTTGTGATGGAGCAGTATGCACCCAGAATTCAACAGTGTACAGAATTGTCAAAGTGTTTTAGGACACTGGGAAGAGCTCTGAGAAAGCCATGCACACAATGTCACTCCCCTTTCTTCTTTTCTTCTTGAAATACATATGACAGTGAAAAACGGGAAAAAACAACACCACCACTCCAAGATACCTCAAACTTGTTAATAAATAGAAGAAAGAGGAACAGCATGTAAGTAGTCTGACTCCCTCCCCTGCCTCAACTCCACTTTTGAGATCAGTCAAACACCAAACTGTCAGGTACTTGGGAGTTCTTGGCTGGACTTCAGCTCCTCACTCTCTAAGAGGGGGTGCAGCACCAGATGGCAGCACTTACTGAAAGCAAGATATCGGCATGGAGAGTGCATTTTGAAAACATTCCATCCTTGTTCTCCTGCTGCTGACAGCTGGGTGAGGAGCTGGGTCAGATCACACATGGGGATGCTACCAGTCACTACAAGCCGCTTCATGACCTGGCTGTCTTCAGGGAGTCCTGTGGACTTGTGCCTTGGAGACAGCACAGTTTACTTATTTATTTATTTCAATGCCCAGAGGGTCTACTCCAACCAGCTTGATTAACTCATCTTCATTACCTCATATCTGCTTTTGGCTTTTTTTTTCCTGTTCTTTTACATTTTCCTTTCTTTCAGAGAAGGGCTATTCCAAGCTGGTATTTATGTCCACAACTGCTGGGAGCTTATGGAACTTGCAAGCTATTCAGTCCATGTGTCAAATTGAACAAGACAAGGTCAGTAATGTCACAAAGAACATATATACATATCATCTCTTTTCTGACTGTCGTTATCTTGAATAGCTAGCTGAAAGGCAGAAAAAACAACATAAGCTGCAGAGCAGGTTTCAGCCTAGAGAACTCCAGAGCATTTTACCTACCTAGCAACATAAGAATGATTTCACCTATCCCTGAAGTCCAGCTGCCATTAAACAAGAATACACAGTCACTGGGCAAAAAAACCTTGTCCAGAAGCCAAAGACGTCCATCAGAAGCTGTTGAGAATGTTGAGCAGCAGAACCTAATTACCAAAATGGAGCTGTTGTCCTGGAGACTGCCACAGTGTTTTTTAAAAGGGACGTTTAATAGGATTAGTTGTGTTTGCCACAGGATCTTGAACAACTCTAAGTGATAAGACTCCAGGAAATCTCCACTGCAAGAGCCTGACATCCTGCTGGCAGAAGGCTCTGTGTTCACACTACACCGTGCCAGATACACAGTCATGGGAGCTGCAGCCAAACTAGGTTTTAAACCATCTCACAGCACACAGAGGGTGCAGGCTTCCAGACCCATCCACATCACTGCATATTGCACACTCAGCAGTGCTAGTCATGTTGTCAGCCACACCTGAGCTGCTGTGGTGTGCCTGCAGCTGCCAGCACAGTAATGCCTGCAATGGAGAAACGCACAGAGCTAGAAGTCCCAAGCCATAACAGGTAAGACAACACGACTGTGTGCCCTGGAGGACTGCACATGATTTCTTTGGCTGCCAGTGATTCTACTAGCAAATCTAGTAATAATATAAGGAGTAAAATAAAAATAAATATAAAATAAAATCAATAGAAAGTATCTCCCCCTTCTGTACTAGCGTTGAGAACACCTGCAAAATGAAGGGCGAAGCTGTCACTAGGATAGTGGAGAAGGATCCAAATTTTCAAATCAGAGGTTATAACCTGTAAATAATGGACAAGGTTTCCTTTTTTGGCAGAAGGCTAGTGTGCTTCAATTGCTTTAGTATGTGCAGTTTGTCACTGAGAGCCATGGCTTGTACAGCTGGAGGGGAGGGTTACTGTGAGGAGCAAGACAAAGCGTGCAGAGTGGACCTCACATGATGTTCCCCTGGCTATTTTTCAGATACGCTCACATGTGCGTTTTAGAGACCTCTGCCAACGTACTGAATCCAATGAATGTTGCCCAAGCTGGTCTCTTGGGAACTACATTGCTGTCCTGTACAACAGGTCTTCTTGTCTGGAGATAACTCAAGGAGACATTTCCCACACCCTGGCTCTCCTTCGTGCCTGCGCTCCAGACTACCACAAAGGTATCCTCACTCCATCATGCATAGGTCCTGAGACCATGAGACAGAAACACCCTCAGTGTGCCAAAGTCCCAGAAAAATGTACCCGCTTCAATGCTATTTACCAGCTTCTTCACTTCTTGGTTGACAGAGACTTTCTTAGTCCCCAGACAATTGAGTACCAAGTGCCATCTCTCAAGTACAGCCTACTCTTTTTGCCTACAAGGAAAGGTGCATCTATGATGGGGATCTACTTAGACAATCTTGAATCTTGGGATCTATTTGATAACTATACATCTATCACTGGAATGGACTTGGGCCTTAAACAGAAACTATTCCAGCACTATCTTTTACTGGATACTAAATATCCAGTTCTGGCAATATTAGCTATTTTTCTAATCATTTCTTTTTATTTACGCTCGGTCTTTATTACCTTGATGGTCCTGCTCACTGTCGTCAGCTCTTTGATGATCTCCTACTTCTTGTACAAGGTGGCCTTCAGATTCACCTACTTCCCTTTCGTAAACCTGATGGCTGTTATCATTCTCAGCAGCATTTGTGCCAACCACACCTTCATCTTCTTTGACCTCTGGAACCTGAGCAAGAGCCAGAACCCTTCTGCTGGGCTTTCACAGCGGGTGAGTCAAACCATGCATCATTTTGCATATCTCATGTTGGCATCCTGCTTCACAACGGGTGCTGCCTTCTATGCCAGCTACATTAGCAATATAATAGCCATCCGCTGCTTTGCTGTTTACATGGGCACCTCCGTCCTAGTGAATCTCATATTCATGATGACTTGGCTTCCGTCTTCGGCTGTGCTGTATGAGCGCTACATTGCGACAACCTGTGTTCACAAGCCAGAAGACTACTGGAAAAACACCGGCCACAAGAGAGTGGCTCTCTCCCTCCACTATGTTCTCAGGGGTCTCCAGAAGACGTTGTGTGAAACCTCCAAGTTGTTATTTGAAAAGCTTTTGCCTTGTGGGGTCATCAAGTTTCGGTACATCTGGATCTGCTGGTTTGCCGCTTTAGCAATCGGAGGTGCCTACATTTCCTGTTCCAACCCAAAACTCAAACTCCCAACTCTTGAGTCATCGTCTGTTCAGGTGTTCAGACTGAGCCACCCCTTTGAGAGGTACGACTCTGAGTACTGCCACCAGTTCATGTTTGAGAGGCTAGAGCATGGAGAAGGGCAGCGTATGCCAGTCACTATCATCTGGGGTATCCTGCCTGTGGATAATGGGGACCATTTCAATCCAAAAAGCAATGGCACCCTTGTGGCAGATGCCACCTTCACAATCCAAAGTCCTGATGCCCAGAAGTGGCTCTTTGAATTCTGTAAAAAGGTGAAGAACCAAACTTTCTATTACCTTGATACGGAGCAGAAATCTACTGTGTGTTTCATGGAGGAGTTTGTCAGGTGGATGGATAGTCGCCAGTGCTCCCAGAGAGACAATAGCTTCAACCTGTGCTGTAATCAGTTCTCTTTCCCTTATGGAAGTGAAGTCTTCCTACACTGCATCAAAATGATGCTCCTGGAACAAGGCAGGGAAGAGGCAGAAACATACGATCTGGGCCTCAGATTTGATGGAGAGGGAAATCTTGCTGCCTTAGTACTGCAATTTCAAACTGTTTATCACTACAGCTTCAATTACAGCAAAGCCAAACACTTCTATGAAGAAATCAACCTCTGGGTAACAGAAGAAATGAAAACTGCCCCTGTGGGACTTCAGAATGGGTGGTTTACCAGTAAACTAGAGCTGTACAACCTCCAGCACAGTCTCAGCACAGAAACAATAGTGGTCATGGGGCTCTCTATTGCCATTTCTTTTGTGGTGCTGCTGCTCACTACCTGGAATGTTCTCCTTAGTGTTTTCTCTGTGACTGCCATTGCAGGAACTGTCCTGGTAACTGTTGGCCTTTTGGTCCTCTTGGAGTGGCAGCTCAACGCGGTGGAGTCTCTCTTCATTTCAGCCGCAGTAGGTCTTTCTGTTGACTTTACTGTCAACTACTGTATCTCCTACCATCTGTGCCCCCATTCGGACCGCCTGAGCCGAGTGGCCTTTTCCCTGAAGCAGATGAGCTGTGCCACTGCGATGGCAGCATCTGCTTTGTTCTCTGCAGGAGTCATTATGTTGCCCGCTACAGTTCTGGCCTATAGAAAGTTGGGGATATTTATAATGATGATCAAGTGTATCAGCTGTGGATTTGCCAGCTTCTTCTTCCAGTCACTGTGCTGCTTCTTTGGCCCAGAGAAGAACTGCGGGCAGATTCTTTGGCCTTGTGCCCACACCATGAAAGATTATTCTGATGACTCTGAGCCAAATGGAACCTATGCCTGTGGGGGAAATGAGAAGCAAAACCGATTGAGGAAGGTCCAGGAGTCCAACACTGCAAATGAGCAATATGAGCTTCAGCCTTTGTCCAGAAAACTGAGTGACAGTTTTGACAACAGCACATCCACAAGCAAGCTGTCCAACAGGCCATCAGTGCCCTCCGAAGACATGCAAGCTGAAGATAATAGGTGCCCAAGAATAGGATCACACCCTCCCCTTCAAAGAGAGAGACAGAATCTGCAAGAGAACCTTGGATGTGACCAGTCCGTCCTGTGCCAGTGTCCTGCCTTGCAAACTTCCTCTCCTTACAAGCACAGCAGCTCAGGAGCAGAAATTCACAGGGAGAGATTATGCAGAGATTGTCAGTGTCGAAAATACAGCCCAAAAGCTTGGGATAGTTCTGGGCTGGACTATACTCAGCCAGCTGGTGTGAATGAAGAAGGGCAGCTCAATAAATCACAGTGCTCCACTGACACTGCCCAGCAGCAGTCAGATTATACCTCAGACAACAGCCATATTCCTGCTGCTGACATCTACAAAATTCACAGATGCCTTTGTTCTCTTGGCAGCTCTTTTGACATGCTCAACATCTCCAGTGAGACATCAATTAGTGATTTTGAGCAAGGCCTAAAGCTTGCTGAATCAGCCAGTTCTTGTCCTGATGTCTTAGAGCTCTCTGATTCATACAGTCAAACAGAGAGAGGCTACTTGAATGGGAAGAGAGATACACTGCGTCTGGACCTGAGGGAGACCGTCTTTGATATCTCTCCAGCAGCATCGCAGCAAAACAGCTCTTCATGGAAAAATCGATTTGGATTAGGGAGTGAAGGGCCCGTTGTGTTACCTAACAGCCAACCAGACATGCCTGATGTTTGGATCAAGCGATCTAGCGCTCAAAGTTCTGGATACAACAGTTGAAATCTTGCAGAGAACAAAACTGTACTGCTAGGGAAAGGGGAAGTCGAAATCTCCTCGGAACTGTAAATATCAATTTTTTCCTCCCACCTCTCTTTGGGCTGAAACTATTTCATAGTTTTCAGCTGTGCAAGTACCTGTGCTTTCACAGAACCAGCAAATCTGATATTGCGAGATCAGTCATGGTGGAGTATAAAGCCCTTCGACTTTCCAGTGTCCTGTGCCACATTCACAGCTGTACAGTGGAATGTATCGAGTAAACCTGTTTTGTCGTTTCCTAAATGGTGATTAGATTTTTTCTTGTTAAACTCACATAGGAGGGAAATAATGAGAAGAATTTCCCCAGATATTTAGGGACAGAGAGTTCATGTCAAAAACAAACAAACAAACAAACAAGCAAAACAAAAAAAAAAAAAAAAAAAAAAGCCAAAAACCAAAAACACAGCTATGGATTTCAAGTGGAAAGCATAATGTTAAAAAAAAAAAAGGTCTTTCATTTTCTACTGAGTATGTGAATTCACGTTCATCCATCTCTACAAAACACTTCAGATATTATTTTAAGACTCTCACCAGGACTTTTCAGTTGGCATGTTCTCTTATTGATCAGGGAGGAGGCTGTAGACCTATTCTCATCCCCACCCTGTTTTTGGTGGCAGTTTCAGCTTGTTTTCTCAGCATCACTACTGATACTGACAAAGATCTATGGTGGAAGATCTCCTCTTTGAGAAGTGCCCTCATCCCTTCGGACGTGTTCTGTCTCCACAGCCATTTCCACACAAGGCTACAAACACACAACTTTTTAAAATTTGCATATGATTTTACAAAAAAAAAATTTTCCCTATCAGGAACAAGCAGAAAAGCAAGTACTTTCTTCACCTTTCTCAAAAACAAATTCTCCCTACAAGTTGATGTAAAATAAACGCTTACGACAAACTTTTACTATATTTGCGTGATGCTTCATTTTTGCCAAATATGCTGTGGTTGAAGGTGGTAATAAGGCACTTAATGCCATTTTGCAGCGTGTCAGCAGAAGGAAAACACAGACTTGACAGATTCTCTCCCTTGGATTCCCAGCAGACTTGCCAGCTCTGTGGGAGAGGGGCTGCCTCACGTAGACAAGGAATACCCATATAAACTTAATGACCCTTCTTGAGACGGGTCGTGTGTTTCAGTGCTTCCGCACCGTGCTGGGAGCTGAGGTGGGTGTTTTGGCAGCCAGAGCTGACTGAACCGTCTCCACACGACACAACGAGAACACTGAAGGGAGGCAGAAGGCGCTTTGCTGAGATGCCTCTTTCCCCGAGGGTTTTAGCCGCCTCAAGGGCACACCGAGGGGAGAGCGAGGAGGGCTCCGCTCGCCGAGCACACACACAACTCGGAGCGAGGCACCTCTGCTCCCGAAAGGGAGCTGCAAGTGTTAAACACCGACAACATCCCCCCGGTAACAACCACCTCCCCCCCCGTAAAGCTTACGGCGCCGCACTGCGCATGCGCGCTGCTCACGGGCGGTGCGCCTCCGCGCATGCGCGAGCCCGCCCAATCGTTGGGCGCCGGCCGCGATTCAAACTGCTGCTGTGAGGAAAGGGCGGGCGGTATCATGGATGTGGAGTCTTCCCGCATTCCCGTCTATGGAGCGTTCCACCGCGGCCCTGTAGGTACGTACTGCCACCTTACTGCGTATTTTCCTGAGGTACAGAGGTCCCTGCTGCGGGGTTAGGGCAGCTGGGGGCTTCCTGGTGAGGTTTCACTTTGCTGAGTGTGTGGTTGTGACGATGAGCTCTCGTGGGCTCCGGTGTTCTCGTGGTTGTCTTTCTCTTGCAGAAACGCAGCTACCCTTTTCTTCAAAGAAGCAATGTGCCGGTAAAGCAGCAGGGCTCGAGCTCAACAAAGATCCCGATTTTAATTTTGGTTCCAATGTTCTAGCGGACGGTGTGTTCAGAGCAACAAACCAAGGGTAAATTAAAGAACAGCTGGGTGTGTTGTTTGAGAAATGTCCCAAAGAAAGCTCTTGCAGGGATAGTGACACCACTGTCTCCCTGGTTAGCTTGTTCCCAAGCCTGGCCGCACTTTCCATGAATAAATTCTTCCTGGTACCCCTTCTAAACTTCTCTTGGTGCAACTTGAGGCCATTTCATCACATCCTATCTGAGAAGAGAGACTGAACCTCATCACATAGTTGTAGAGAGCAACAAGATCTAACCTCCAGGCTAAACCCCAGCTTCTTCAGCTGCTGCTCAAATGTCTTGTCCTGTACTCATTTAGTCAGCCTTCTTGTTCTTAATCATAGAATCACAGAATGGCCTGGGTTGGAAGGGACCTCAAGGATCATGAATCTCCAACCCCCCTACCACATGCAGGGCCCCCAACCTCTACATTTAATACTAGACCAGGCTGCCCAGAGCCCCATCCAATCTGGCCTTGGAAACCTCCAGAGGTGGGGCATCCGCAACCTCTCTGGGCAGCTGTTCCAGCCCCTCACCGCTGTCATAGTAAAGAACTTAAATCTTCACTCCTTCAACTTAAAACCATTTCCCCTTGTCCTGCTGTTACTTGTTCTTCTCTGAACGTGTTCTGGTAACTCAGTGTCTTTCTTGTAATGAGGGACCCAACACTTAACACAGCATTCAACATGCAGTCTCACCAATTTGGAATGCAGAAGGACAAAGAGCGGTTTTGTCAGCTGTACATGATCTGTAAGTATGAAACGATCATTGTGTAACTGTGTTCTACTTGTTGCTTAAGGATTACTAAATCTGCCAAGAAAGCGGAGCCACCTTTGAAGAAGGCAGTTACAAGAGGGTATGTTTTTTCACATTGTTAATAGCTGTCCCTATGCAGTTATGTTCCTTCTCAGAGAGTTCTGATGAGCCCTAAACCTACAAAGGTTTGCTTTGCTAATGGCCTTTTGTCCAGGAACATGAGCAAATCTTTCAAAGAAGGACATCTTTATGAAAGTAAAAGGTGTGTGATACCAGTGTTCTTTCACTTAAATCTTTAATGTTTGATTCTACAGACCTCTGAGCAGGTACAAACTAGAGACAGAGCTGAAGGCCAAGAATCAGCTATTGGAATCAGCCAAACAGCAATTGCACTCCAGATTAACAGGAGCTCAGGTAGGAACAAGAGGTGGAAATCATTGAGTAATTCTTACATTCTGCACCTTGCAGGGTTAGGTCAAAGGGCTCACTTGCTCGTTTTCCAGTCTCCCTTGGAAGGCAGTAGACTGAGTGGTCTGGGTTTTCTCTTGCAACACTGAAGGTATTTGGCTAGAACTTGGCAGTCAACAGTGCTATGGATGTATTTGGCTAGATAATGCATCTGGATCACTATTGATAGCCACCAAAACTCTAATCCTGTCTTAAGCTCATTGCCGGAGAATGTTTCCACTTCACAAGTGAACGTGTATGTGAAATTTTAAGAAAAGAGCCTCAGTATTGCCAGATGTTTACGATGTTAACAGAAACAAGTGATAATCATACTCAATAGTGATTTGAAGTCTATTAAATCTATTTCAAACTTAGAGCCAAATATGTTTCTATTTGATTTCTTGATGATTCTGCTAATTCCATCACATAATGTGGTGTGGAACTGCAAGCAGTGTTGAATGTATGGTCACATTTTAGTAACTAAGGATGCTTGTTCTGGTCACTGCTTTGCTATAAAATTTGAGGGATAGTGGCCTTGTTTTCTTTAGAGTATTTTTAACTGAGAGCTCTGTATGTATGATTTTAAGCTTCCTGATGTACTATTGTTTTTTAATATCTTGATGGATTTCTGCAAGCTTTTTTCCTGTCTTATCACTGGTGAGGAGGCGGAGGCCACACGTGGAGTATTGTACCTGGGAGCATGGACATGGATACAGGAGAGACAAGGATGTGTTAGGAAGAATCCAAAAAGGGGCCACTAAAATATTTGAGGAAGTAGAGCTTTTCTCCTGTGAGGAAACACTGAGAGCTGGGACAGCTGAGCCTAGAGAAAAGAAGTCTGGGGGCAATTTTGTCAGTGTATATTGATATGTGGAGGCAGGGTGTTCAGTGGGGCAATGGACACAAACTGACACAGAAGCTTCAATCTGAACAACTCGCCTGAGCAAGATCACTTCTAGAAGTGCTTTACCAACTCAGTGATTCTGTGAAATCCATCAAGCCGAGATTCTCCTTTCTTAACCTAAGTTTAGATTCAGAGTCTGCGCTATGTTACTCATCATCTGTCAGTGATCAGAGCATAATGTAATTGCTATCCTATATAAGAGGCCCAATGTGTAACCTTCAGTTGTAAAAGTTCATTTTATTTCCTAGTTCTCAACTGGTTACTAATCTGTGAGATGATCTTTCCTTTTATCTCGTAGCTTAAGTTCTTTGTAAGCCTTTGAGGCCTCCTTTGGGATGTTCAAAAAGCTTATGGCTATTATCAGCTGGATCACCCTAATCCACGTGCTTATTGATTCTCTCAGAAAATTGCATTCAACTTGGGAGGTTGATCAGCTTATCCAATTGCCTGCTAAAATCCAAACTGTGCAGGGAATAATGCTGTGGCCTAAAGATTCTCAGATGCCTCTTTATTCCTGACGTTAGATGCTCCTCTGTGCATAACTTTTAAAATACTACAGAGAGAAAGCAAGAAATCACGAGCTAGAACTGTCTCAAAGGAATCTATCTCTAGGAATGGGATTTCCTAGCAATTACTGTGACATTCACATGTGATAGATCCTGTCAAAAAGCAGGAATAAGGGTCTCTTTCTCTGGTGAGTAAAGGATAGAAAGGCAAGACGTGATTCTTGGTGTTAGAGGAGAACCTGTTAAGAACTCGGTATTACTGACTAATGGGGAGAAATTTGGTTCACTTAAAATGTCACTGTGTTAATGACAGGGCACTATAAAGGAGTTAAAAGAAGAGAATGAAGGCCTGGTGCAAGAAATTGAAAAGCTCAAGAAATTTCAGGAAACTTGCATGGTGGTTTTAGAAAGCAGAAACATTGACCCTGGTAAGGATTATGCATTTCATGTTTATTTGTTGTACAGAGCACCACTTTCTTTTTTCTTTTCTCTCTTGCTGCATCTGTCTGTAAGACATTGGCTTCTGCCTCTTTGTTAAAAAAGCACTGTGATAGTGTGGGATTTCTTTTTGCTAGTTTAAGAGGAAAAGCTGCTTCTTGTGGTTGGCTCTGTCCTAGATAAACTTTGAGAATAACTTTCTTGCTGTAGAAAGTTACCTTTGGGAAGCTGTTAGGCCTTAGAGCACTGTATGTTGTGTCTCATCAATCAGTTACAGGCAGCAACATTTTGGAGGAAGAAGAAAAAACACAGGAATG